TACATTCCTTTTTCTGCTGGACCCAGGAATTGCATCGGTATCAGATTTCCAGAACAAATTTCTAAGAATTGGGTTGAAACAGATAATATCAAGAAAAGGTGGTCTGTGGTGTTCTTTTTGAAGGGGAGAATTTAATCGATAATGAAATGAAAAATTTATAATTGTGGAATGGAAAGATGCTTTAAAATTGCGAGCATAATAAGAGAGTAAAATGAATTTAAAATTTGTTGAATCGCTTATACATTCGAGATAAGGTGACAGATCTCTTTTACAGGACAGCGATTCGCACTTATGGAAGAAAAGTGCATTCTGGCATTGCTGATGCGGAATTTGAAAGTGAAATCGAAATTGCGCACCGATCAGATGCGTGTGTCCGCTGAACTTGTGATTCGACCATTGTTTGGCAATAACATACGATTTGAACCGCGAAAATTCGGGGATTATGTGCAAATTGAATAGGCACGATATTTCAGATTCTCTTTCTGCTAATACTTAACAAATACTTCGTATCGAAAGCTTGAATAACTCACAACGTGTTGGATGCAAAAAGTTTAGGGTCAAAACACTCTTTCCCTGCACATTCATCATTTTTATGGATTTTCCAAACTAAGGTGGCTCGCATTGATATTATAAATGCTTAAATGCGGTCATCACATCGATATCGTTCGGAACTAAGCTTTATAGGCTTAACTGTTATTTAGCCATGCAAAGTGCATCTGTTCTTTGATTTAAAGTTGGCGCGTATTAATTGTATTGTAGCGTCATCATCATAATGTGTTTTTCGTCAAAATGTGTAAATAAATGTTTTCTACGATAGTATTAACCGGAAAGTCTGAAGGAAGCAACACCATCCTTGCCTGAGTGATAAGTAGTATCATTCAGATATTTGCGTTACAAGCATTTTATTCCAATAAAATTTTAATTGCATGCAATTTAAGTCGCCCACGCATCTGTCTTCAAAAGCAATTAAGGAGCAATGAACTAAATTTTTACTTTTACATCCCTATTTTTACGAAAATAGAAAATCAACCGTATGGTCGAAAAACAATACCTTTCTATAGGAGCATTAAGTTCAGATGGTTCAATGAAGTTTGGAATATTATTCGAAATAAAGTGCGGTAAGTAATGAGAAAATTAGATGTATTAAATTAAGAAAGATTAAATTATATTTTTTAATCGTGGTTTGTTTCGTTTATACTTCGTTTAATTTGCGTAATCGGTTTTTACTATTTTTTAAAAACTGATTTCGATTTGTTCACTTTTTATTTCTATTGTTCAAAGAAATGATTTTTGTTAACTTTCAATTTTTACCATTCGATGAATCACAACACTACCATTAGTAACTGTTTGTCATCATGGCAAATCGACATGAGAACTCGTTCTTTTTAGTCAGTCTTTTAAACAAAGTTGCCTAGTCGTTATTGATTTTCCTCGAAAAACTGTATTCAATATTGTCAGATCCTAACTTTTTCTCGTGAAAGAGAATTTAATTCAATGAATGATTTCATTTAACTCAATATATTTGTTTGCTTTTTGAATATAACATCTATTAGAATAAAGCTCACAACACTTTGAAAATTTGTTTAGCGATATTCATATATTTATATCCATACCTTATAATTCATATTTCATACCTTATAATTTGAACCGTATATAGTATCTTTTTTATGGTCAGAAGTGTAAAGTGGTCATATGCCATTCGAAATATTTGTTAGATAGTTAAAATTGAAAATCTGATGATAATAAGGAAATATGATCAAGCAGGATTTTTTGCATATCTGATCAAAATCTGGTTCAGTGTTCTTAATGTAAAGAAAAACAAATTAAAAAAAAAATTAGCCAAGATATGATCAAAAATTTTTTTTTCGAATGCAATTGGCGAAGATATAATCAAAAAATATTTTTGTAAAGAAATTGATTAAAATATGTGATGAGCAAATTTCTTCGGCATTGATTACTTCGTCATTTTCTTTCTGTTTTTTTCTGTAAAGCAATAACAAATATTGGCGATTTCTTTTTTCTTTCAATGTAAAAGTTTATCAAATCATTAAAAAGACCTCCTTTAAAAAAGTTTTACTTTTTTACATGTGAGAACTATCGGAATGAAGCAGTTCGATGAAACAGTTGTGCCACCATTCAATAATATTGCTATGAAAGTGTAAAGGAAACAATTCAATTTGGAACAAGTTAATGTTCCATTAATTTTTAGCTAACACATTATGGAAACATTCAGTGAGACAAAGAAAAGCATCCAGTGCATGACGAATTCTTTTACAGTTTACAATGAAATAGATTGAAGTGTTTTAAATTCATTTTCGGAGATAAGAAACAGCAATTAATTCTAAACTAATGTTTCGGAATCCTGGTTTTCAGCCATTTTCAAATCTTCTGAATCTGAAGCAGTTAATTTGATAAAACATTGAAATAAAAAGACATCCGCTAAAAGGTCATGCATCAATTACTATGTGTAGTTCATTAGACAATACATTTCCATCAAAAAAATATATATGTAATTACTGCTCATTTATATACATGTATAAATGAGCAGTAATAATCTCATGAAAAGTAATAAAAGTTCGTTAATTTGCGCATACTGGGCTATTAGTGCAAGGATAGGAAGTACGGCAATTACCTTTAATAATCTGATAATGAGAGAAACAGTGAAGTTTCTTTGTGAATTCGATGATAAAATTCTAAATTGAAAGCATCGTTAGGCGATAAAAATCAGATATGGGTAGGACTTGTACTAAAGCGCCCAGTACAAGATTATTATCATCGTATGAGTCTCTTTTCTGCCAACACTCCATTTTCACTATTTATAGTAACGTCGTTGTTGAAGAGCAATTTGATTTAATCTTTTATTTTATCTAAAAATGTCCTGTTGATTCGTTTCATCTGTAATAGTTTCAAATTCTTATTTCAGCCTAATTTTCTTAAATTTTCGAACAGAATTAGAAAGATTTTTTGTGCCAGAAATTGGCCTAACGTTGCATATTAGTAGATGAATTATTTCTCTCACAGTTAAAAAAGACAATAGTTGTTTTTTTTTGATCAAAAACTAGTTATCTACAATTTTCGAATCACGCCAAACATCGAAATTTTTTCTTTTTTGTTTTTTCTTCCTAAATTTTTTCTTCATATATTCTTCTCTGTTATTGGCAAAGCAATAATGAATTGAAATTATTATAGAATTTATAAAATCTATTCCGAAAAGTGTTTGTAAGGAAAAATGTTGCTGTTTTCTTCAGTTTATCTGCGTNATTTNATTTATNTAAAAATTAATTATATCGTTACAGAACTTTGCAGAAATCAACGATGGGATTGATAAGCGCTTCATTGGTCACAATGCTGCTCGTTTGGATTGCTTACTTTGTCATCAAAAAGCTCAAATCCATATTGAAGCAAATTAGTGAAGTGCAAGGACCACCAACTTGGCCACTTATAGGCAATTTACATCAGTTCCATTTCAAACCAGATGGTACATATTTCGATTTTTGTCACGCTATTTGAGAAATTGGCTTTACAGATTAATTTGTTTGCAATGTCTGAATTTTTCCTATAATCATGTGTGTAGAGTGTTAATTCAGGATATATAGGCAATTAATTTGCTTTAATTTAAAAAGGAAGTGAATAAAAATGAAAAGGACGAGACGTGACAATTAAAGGGAAAAAAGGATTAACTATCACCAACCACTGAATTTTAGTATGAGTATATATTATAAAGCCATAATATAGTTCATTTCCAATAAATTATTTCAAACGATTTATAATAAGGCATCAAACATGGAAACATATTGCAGAATTCTTCGAGCAAGCCCAGGGCTTAGCATACATGTTGCAAGCTCGTGGGGAGCGCATCTGTCGTGTTTGGTT